TAAAAAGTAAATAGGACTCACACAAAATTAGGAATTGAATTCTTGATTTTGGAGGAATTCAATTATTGGGTGGAAGATGGTATTCTAATTCCTAAAGAACTAACCTATTAGGAATTCATATTTTTTTTACCCATTATATCCTCACACAATTCTAAAAATTACAAATTTGCCATGTATTTTAACCCAACAACAATGACATTTTAGTAATTAGAATCACTTCTACCTTATTTCTATATGGTTTAGTAAACAACTTCAATAGGAATCTAGAATCTAACTCTCCTCAATGTATATGGTTTAGTAAACAACTTCAATATGAATTTGGAATCTAATTTTCCTCAATCCAACTCCTCCTCAATTCAGTTACGGATTAGTAAACATGTCATTAATTCAATTCAGTCCTGATAGTTGAATATGGCTAAATAGTTACATGTATGAAGGTTTTATCCATGACCTAAGTTTATGGATACGCTAATCATATTTTACAAATGATTACTTTGTTTTTAATTGTATTGCTAAATTGACTATAGAAAAGTTATTTATATTTTCGTTGTATGTATATTGTTACGAGAATCTCAGCTATTAGTTTATTGTTTCCTCTTGAGGGTGATGTCCAATGGTGGCTTAATAGTGATGATTTAAAAAAAAATAAAAATTATAAGCAATAGTCTAACTTAAAAGGGGGAGTGAGTTTCTCTCTCTCAGACACACACTACCAAGATGTCATGAGGATTCGAACTTGAGACCACTGGTCCGCAAGTCAAGATGCCATGAAAGTTTTAATATTAAGTTGGCTATTCAGCTACAAAATAAGACTTAACGTGCACACTCTACTCTACTCTTTTGAATAAATTATGAAAACTGAACGCTATGCTTATAATTAAGATAATTATAAGTTGTAATCAACTTTTAACTCAAATGGTTCAAAGGAGTTACCTTTACCTTTGAGCCTTCTCATAATATATAGTTTGTATAAAAAGGAAAAAAAAAGTTCATCACATTTTAGAGAGTACAAACAAGAGAAACGACTACATATGTCCTTTTCCATGATGATATTCAGAACATCAAAGTAATGCGTGTAAACTATAATTTTATGAGTCCTCTCTCGTGGATGGTTTAGCAAAGCAATGTTGAGTAATATTCTATTGTCAAATTTATGTTGGCATATGAAAGTAACATATCTAGACTACACATTCAAGTAAGAATCAAACTCATGGATGATCCACGTATAAACATCTTGTGTTGTCAGCGTAGTCTAATACGAAACATTTCTCTACGAAAGACACTAAAATGTGGACGTCTGCAAGGTATCCATCTTGAGTTATGATGAATTTGATTTTATTCAATGAAGACAAGTAGGGTTTTATTTTTATTTATTCAAATGAGGAGAAGGGCACAACAGTGTATAAACTGTCTACCTCGTTTGCAAGCTTTATAGAGGTGTGGGCCGATGTTTCTTAAATTCTACTGCTCACTGGATCACTCTCTCTCTCTCCCTCTCTCTCTTAATTTATTTTTCTTATGCAAAATACAAACACAAGGAGAGGAGAGAGCGAAGCCGAAGCAGAAGCAGAAGAAAGAAGCAGAAGCAGAAGAAAGAAGAAGTGGTCCTTCTTCTTCCTAATTGCAATGGTTGTTTGTTTGTTTGTTTGTACTCTCTTTCAGTCTGAAATGTCTTTATTATACCTTTTATCATCTTCTTCTTCCTCCTCATCACATGCCCCCTTAGATTTTGCATTTACTTGTGGACCCCTTTGATAGTTGGACTGACGTTAACTCTGCCACCACTGTTTTTCTTATTTGGGTGCCTTCTTTTTCTTCATGTAAAACGAGGCACCCTTTTGCTACATTCATATTTGATAGCAACTTGCTTTTTTCATTCTTTTTTCTTTTTTGCAATTCTACAACATCAACATGGGATAGTCTCAAGTTTGCCCTTGTCTCTTTCCTTTTAAATTTTTTTTTTTTGTTTATTTGTTTTGTTTTTCTAGAAAACTTCGACGGTATGAGAGCAATTTTATTGAACATTAAAATAAATATGGGCTTTAAATATGGTACATGACTTTTTTACAAGTATCAAATAAAAAGAGTCCTGAATAATGTCAGGCGGCTCCTCAAACCATTCAAACCTTATTTTTAAAAGAAGGAAACACTCAATTCTTTCTGAGAAAAATATTACATGGATGCTTTTGCAACTACTTCAATTATGTTTCCGTTAGAAATGTTTTGACATACTACTTTCGATGTTAATGCACAAAGTCAACATCTCTTAACCATTTCTAGTATCCGTAATTTAGATTCCTCCACCTAACATGAGATAGGAATATACTCAAGGTTATTATAGGAAGAAATAATTTCATTAAACAGTTAGAGTTGGGATGTAATTTTTTATTATTTAGAAAAGATGATATTTCGTCAAACACATAAGAAACAATACATGAGAAAAAAACTAGCATGCTAAAAGAGAGCCTCGTTAAAACCTTTCCAGAGAAAAACATGGAAGTCACTGAGCTAGAAAACATGTGAAAGTTTTTTTATTATATTTTTTTGGTGGTAAATTAATATACTAACATTGAACAGTACATGCTTGGTTACTGTTTGGCAAAAGATATTAATGCTATATGAACAGTACAAGCTCTAAAACACATGAAAAGGGTATTCATTAATGCTTTATTCTTATTATTTCCCTTTTGATGCTTGCAACCCCACAGGATGAACTAAAATACCCTCACCAGGTTGCTATTTTCTCTTCTTTACTGGTTTATAATTCCAAGGTTTAAATTTGGACTATACACCAAAATTATTCAAAGCCCTGCTTCAAGGAGCAAAGAGTATATGTCCCCTAACTCAAAAAGAAAAAAGAAAAAAAAAAGGAAGTAACTAATATTTTCTTTTGGTATTTCTTTTGTCAGTTTGTACAATGCTTGCCTGAAAGAAAAACCAGGAATGGATAGAATTAGGGGGTATTATTGGGTTTCAAGACAAAATCTCCACCAAACTGACTTGGAATTTGAAATTTGGGAACAGCTCATTTTCCCAATTCCTGGTTGCTGAGGAGGACTGGTTTTGGAGCTTTGCAAATCTATATTTAGATCAAATTGCTGCCCAGAAATGGAAAACTTGTTTGAAGTGTAAATTAGTGCAACAAAAGTGGTGTAATGTGATAGTTATGATGTTAACTAACTAATGATTACATTGCAAAAGTAAGTAACCTGGCTTGTTCCACAAGCAAAGCTTTTAGAAAAATGAATTAAGAGCCTTAATTACTTGGATTTTGTAAGTTAATTAACAAAAACACTTACAAACAAACAAGCAAATAGTGGTAGGAACAAACAAATAGAGACAACCGTTGAACAGTTTTTTTTCTTTTTGGCAAGAGATTGAGACAAAACACAAATCCCGACATCGAAAGTGAACAATATTTTATAGCATCTGAATGATGATGATATGAGAGTTGTGTGAGTTGTGTATGGGATTCATTGAGCTAAATCCATTATCAAGCCAAAGAAAAAACTCCTCTGACCCATCTAGTGTTCCTACACATGCAATACAATAGATGATTGATTAAACTCCATCAGTCCTAACTGAATTATTGTTGAAAGAGAAAAATGCATACTCTCCTGTCCTCTTCTTCACTCTCTACATTTCACACCTATGTTATCCAACACCTCAAATTAACCCACCTACCACAACTCTCTCTCTCTCTCTCTCTCTCTCTCTCTCAAAAACATAAAATTAAAGCGAAGGTACAAAAGAGAAGGGGAAATAAAGAAGGGAGTCTAACTACCATCTTGATCATACCTTGCTTCAACGTCTTTCATAGAGAGCAAAGAGGGCACATGCTTTTGCCGAGGGTTGGCTTTGCCATTTTAAAGCCATGAAAATTTTGGTACTGCTATCTTTGAATGATGATAAATGTGCTTCTAATAAGGCACATAGAAGTGACTCCATATTGGATCCCTAGTTGTAGACCGTCATAAACTTGGTATTTCACTAGCCTATCATGCTACTACTTTATTTTTGAATGACCCCAATTCATGATCTCACTCAATAGTACAACTATATATATATACTATAGTGCTTCTGATTTTTCAGTGCCTTCTGTCTTTCTTTTTATTTTTTCCATCAGAACTGCTTGAAATCTGTTTCTTATATTACCAACCAAGTACGATCAAGATCGGGATTTCACACTCCCAGATTGATGTACCACACGTATTTTTTTCGTGTGTGATTTAAGATAATAAGATATCGATCTGTAGCGCAGAATGACAAATTTAAAGTGTAAATATAGTTGCGTAGAAATAAATAAGGTCCAAAAAAGTAAATTTAGTTGCCTTTTCTGTCTCCTCAGCCATTGGTGTCACGAATGAGGAGGTTTCTGCCTCAATCATTAAGTAGAAACAAGACATAATTTAGACTTTGATGGGCTCACATCATTCACATAATAGAAACAAGATAAATGTCTCTCTCTCTCTCTCTCTCTCTGCCTCTCTGTTTCTATGTGTCTCTCTCTCAAATCAATTGCACTGAATATAAGCAAAAATAAATAAATTGAAGTGTAGCAGGAAGCAATGCAACCTGCAAAATTCGATGGATATATCATTTTCTTTCTGTATATTTTGAGGCTGCAGAAAACAGAACACTATCATCAAACCTTATCACCTGATCATCATCTTTCTTCTGTGTGAGGGTGTGTGTGTGTGTGTGCAGCAGTGTGACACACTAAATCAAATTCCACCTCTCTCATCACCCCACCTGTCTAGAGAACCAAACAAATACATCGACATAGCCGCACGTGTGTATCTACAAAAGTCCATGCACCTCCTAACTGATGCCATATATTCCTCACACGTGTGAACAAAGGTTAAACTATACCCTCTCAAAGAAGAGAGAGAAATTGCTGTGAATGAAATGAACCCAACTTTGCTGATGGAACGAAATCTAAACGAAAATTTTGGTTCACAAAAATAGCAATTTCCTTGCCTGTAAACAGTAAGTTTTGCTTTCAGAGTCAAGAACTGTACTGTTTCCTGATTATTTTTAATTACATTGATGAAGATTTCTCCAAATACATGATTTCCTCATTTACATACTGAAACCGTACTAAAAATTGTGACTGAAGTTATGAGCAGGAATATTTCCTAAAATTGGCCTCATTTGCATTAATCCCAGGAGATTATATATTAAAAACAATTAATTAATTAATTCCCTTCTCTCTCATCATCATCAAATTCTCTCTCTCTTTTTTTTCCCTCTAAAGTAGTACTAATTAATTAATTGATTGAAGTAGTTATCCAAATCATAGAAGCCTTAATCTTATTACAGATGAAGATCCAAACTCACATGGTCTTGCACACTCGCCATCGACGAGTCATACACGTACCGTCCTTGACCGCCCGTCCCACCGACCCCTGCTGCCTTCATCTCCTCCCCGCCGGCGAACAAATTCATCGAACGGTCACGATTTAAACTAGGGTTAGTAGTACCCTGAACTGCAGGGATCCGCCACAGGGCCAAAGGGCTCCCATTAATGGGCGCTGATTGCGTGCCGTACGTCCCACCAGAGCTTCCGTAAAACCTCGTATGTTGATGAGCACCAGCAATGGAGCTAGAGTGGCTACTATTCCAAGATGGGTAAGCAGTATGGTGATGGTGAGGTGAAGCCCCAAGCCTAGAAGTTGTGTAGTTCATTAAGCCGTACACGTGGTGGTGCGCGTCGTGAGATAGGCCGTGGTGGCCGGCATGCACCATGGCCGACTGGAGGTGCTCGCGTTTTGCGTGCTGCCGCTCTCTCTTGTGCGCGTTTTGGTGGCCCCCAAGGGCTTGGGAGGTCGGGAAGTTCCGGCAGCAGTAGTGGCATTCAAATCTCCGGCTGCTCTCGCCTCCGCTTTCGCTGCTTTTGTTGTTGCTGTTGGTGGCGGTGGTGGTGTTGATTTTGTACTCTTTTGCGGCGGCGTCTTCGCAGGCATTGGTGTAGTCGAGGGATTCGGAGTCTTCCGTGGGGGTGTCTGCGCCGAATTCTATGCCAAAGAGGCGGATGCCCTTCTCTTTGTTGACGGGAGGGGCCGGGCGGATGAAGGGGAGCTGAGAGAATGACTCTACGTTCATGAAGTCTTGAGTCTCCTTCTCAACCTTGTCCATGAAAATTTGGAGAGAGAGAGAGAGAGAGAGAGGTGTAGTTTTGGGTGTGGTGAAAAAAGAGGAGGAGGAAATGGAGAAATTGGGAGAGGAGAAATGAGAGGGAGGAGTGGGGGTGAGGAGGGATGGTGTGGGGCCTATAAAAGGGGGGTGAGAGTCTGAATGATGATGGACAATTGGGGCTGACCCATCTGAGAGTGAACCCTGACAAGGCCACAAGTTTGAGAGTGGCTTTGGCTTCTGAAAGTACCATGCACCTTTGCTTCCTTCACTTGTTTTTTGTTTTTTGTTTTGGTTTATTTGATTGGGGAACTAAGGGGAAAGTTGTTGTTACATCCCCATACTTTTTCACAATTTTATATCCTACCCTAAATCCTTGTGTTATCTATTTTTTAAAAAAAGAAAAATGTCATTTTTAACTATCAATCAATCAATTATGTACATACTCAACTTGTCACTGATTTAGTGGTATTTATCTTCACTTGGTCATAAAAGATCATATTCGACTGACATGAATACGAAAACTATCATGGCAAAAAAAAAAAAAAAAAAAAAAAAAAAAAAAAAAAAAAAAAAAAAAAAAAAAAAAAAAAAAAAAAAAAAAAAAAAAAAAAAAAAAAAAAAAAAAAAAAAAAAAAAACAATAACAACAACGAGAACTATACATATCCGTGGTGAGTTTTGTAAAAATAACTTTATAAATATCACATCGTTTATAAAATTAAAATTTAAAAATCGACGAGAATTAAAGACATTCCATTATCTACAATAGTAATGTACTTAACGTTTAATAAATTAACAATTAATGAATTCTAAAAGATATAATGATGATGGGGAGATTTTAGTACATGATGGATGCATGAATTTAATTAGATACATTAAGAATCTCATAAGGAATTCATGAATTTATGAGTTAATTGGTTAATCAAGACATTCAAAGTGACAAGGTGCATATATACTAGGGTATATGGTAGGGAAAAAAGCTAGGATTGATAACTAAGTACTTCCTAATTTACTTTTAAATCCATTACCAACTTTGGGGAGAGATTTAAACTAGGAACTTCTTCTTTAGAGTATATAATTGTGAAACTATAACTATAATCTCTTTCCACACACTTTCTAATCTATTTAATTACGTTCCAAAGCAATGAAAACAACATATATATATATATATATATTTCTTTATAGTTAGAACAAAGCTTAATATAGTATATTCATGTAAGATAGAAGAAGCAATAAAACATAAGCATATTAATAAATGGAAAAATAAAGTAGGCCTATTTTGTAAATAAATAAATAAAAACTATATATATTCATGCACGTTAGGTCCAAATCCAAAGCAGTGAATTATTGAAATATATATATCAAGCTAATAAATGAAAAACAAAAAATATAGAGTAGGGCCTATTTGTAGAAAACCAGGCTAGCAGGAAGGCTAATCGAAGGGCTCTAAAAATACTGAGAACGTACTAGGGTGTTAGCTAGAGTTAAAGTTTGAGAACGTAAAATATAAATGATCAGATATTAAAATTAAACATGTTACTTCATTAACTGGTAATTATAATTAAACTGAATCCGATGCCAAATGTGAGTTCCAAATGTTTTTTCTTCTTATATTCTATAATTGAACTGCTCGAACACCATTTTCAAGTTAAGAGGGATAATATTTTATTGATAAGATAAACAAAAACAAGTACAAAGCAACTAAGGTACCGAATATGGATACAACTTCTCCAACGAACAAGTTGAATTGATCTGGAGAGAATACGCACAACCCAAAAAATGATTAAAATCCCCGAATCAGCAACCATAATCACATATACTCAAACTTGCAATAAAGATTTGACTCGCAACTACAGAAACGGCAAATTCATATCGAAAGTCAAATGCCAAAAGGAAATAAAGTATCCTAAATAAAAAACAAGCCACATCAAACTTCTAAAGAATTCATGGGAATTATTAGACAAATAAACAAGAAACAAGATTACTGCTCCACATCCTCCAAGGCAACCTGAAGAGAGCCTCTTATATCAACGAGCCTAATAGGAGTTCACTACATGTCTAAACCATGCACCGATATTATTCCCACCTTAATCACTTAGGTCCAATACCTTGGGTGGGAGTAGGCCCAATAGACCTCTAGGTGTAGAGTTTTAACTTAAAAGGTCTCGGTGCAATTAGGAGTGGTATTTAAACTGCAACAATCTCCACTTTGGCGAGATCAAAGCCAAGGTAACCCACCCGTTCACAACACTTAAACTTTTCAAGAGTAAGCCCCTACAACTCCACCTCTTCCGACAAGGATTTTTCTTGAGTCTCCCTATGAGCCCTTTCTCCGCTAGCTTAGGAATTTGTACTTGATTCGCCTCCTTAAACATGCCAATGGCTCCATCTTGAACCAAGTGCGTCTTAGCTGAACATGGCTCTGATACCAATTGTTGTATCAACGGGCCTAATAAGAGTTCACTACCTGTCCAAACCATGGACCGATATTCTCCCCACATTAACCACCTAGGTCTAATACCTTGGGTAGGAGTAGGCTCAATGGACCTCTAGGTGTGGGTTTTAAACTTAAAAGGCCTCAGTGCAATTAGGAGTGGATCACCTATATTTAAACTGTAAATTATTATTGTATTCTCTAATGTGGGACTTACACATTGAAATTGGTACTTAGGTGGAATGGGTAAATTTAAACTATAATCAAGTTACTTAGAAGATCTTACACATAAAGTATTTCTAACAAATGTATAACTAGCCTACAACTAGTCAAAGACCTAAGAACACACAACAATTAGCACACACAATCACACACAAGTCTCATACCCCTGCAAGCCTAAACGTGAATAAGTGACAACTTAAGCACTTAAAAGGACCCGTCAATTTAGGCATCTTCTGTTCTACCAACAACTAAGATGCATTGTGTGTGAACATTCATCATCATGTCAGAGATTCACACCAAACATGTTTACCCAGAAACCCACCACTAGGAAAAATTAGAGATCATCGCTCTGACTAGGCAATCCACTATGTTAAGAAGATTCTTACAATAAAGGTATTCACAAGCTCAAACAAACCTATATCTATTTAAGACTAGAGCACTACCTCATTATGCAACCTTCTTCACCAACATAGTGAGCTAGAAACAATTCTTTATGAAAAATGGCAGCTAGTCCATCAGCTTCTTCACCTCATGGCACTATATCTTATCTTCAAATCGTAACAATTGATGAACTATATATTCAAACAAAAGTAGTCAATTTCTTCAAGAAACCATCATCTTGAGGAAACCAACAATGAATTTGATCTAGCTAGAATGATATGATGTAACCTATATTCTAGATGCATATTTCAAATTATCAAAGCGGATTTCGAAAGTCTCATTTTGAAAATATGCAAACCTCCATGGTGCACCCTTTACAAAAGTTACTTCCAAGAGTACATAAATTGCAAAATATAAGATTAAGTCGTGACAATTGCTTAGAACGAAAATTCCATGGAGGCTTTAAATCCATCAAAGTTTGTCTCCACAAAGTCATCTTCAAAGTCTTCAACAACCAAATTCCCAATAGTGTCCACAGCCACATCATGTAGATTAGCATGAGTATCAGATAGATTAGATGATAGAGAAGAGCGGGCACCAAGAACAAAAAGAACTAACTTCCTCAAATAGATAAGCTCATAAGCTTGATCTTGTATGGTCATTTTCAGCATAAAAATATGTGAAAAGGGAAAAGTGGAGGCACTCGAAGCTTTGGATAGTTGAGTGGATAGTTTTTCACTTAGAGCAATATAGGATGAGTCATAAATAACAGGTGCCTCATGCCAGACGTCACTGGGGTTCAGCTCAACTCCCTTAAGACAACATAGGGTATGTATAAGACATGGAAAGACAAGTGACTCTTTGTGTTTTGTTCCATGACCAATAGTCTTGGTCTGAAGTAAGTGACATATGATTTCTCCAAAAGGAATAAGGGCTCTATTAAGTATAGCAAGCTTCAACTGACATCCACCAAGAGTAGGATTGGAATTATTGGCAGTAGGTAGAAGATTATGAAGCACAAAATCTCAAAGGAATTGTAAAAAGGCTTCAAATAGATTTCCTAGGAAACCCTTTGCTGGTGAGAGGAAGGGAAGGATTTTCATAAGCAAGACTCTGAAACTGCTCAATAGAATAGTGATAGATAACAACAAAATAAGAATCATAGCTAGTGCAAGGACATGGCCTAAATTCTAAAACCTTATGAATCACAGCATGAGTAAACATGATGGACAGGTCTCTAACAGATATACGAGACTTTGTGAGCAAGTTAAATTGGAAAATTATGATATAATTCATTAACAATAGATGTGTTATACTTACTAGATTGAGAATTGAGATTGTAATTAATGTTTGAACATTTGATTAACACAGTTCCAATCATAAACGTGGAGAGCCTAAATGTTGTCAATACGCTCAGGAACAAACTTCTTGTTTAACACCACAGAATGAAAGAAATCCATAGCTCTAGGTGAGGTAAAATTGGAAATATTTTCAACTGTTATAGACCTCTGAGAACGAGATGTTGATGGGCAAGGACTAGTAGGATGAGAAGAGGTATTAGGATTGATAGGAGAAAAAACAAAATGCTAAAGTATATAGACAGAGGAGAAGAGGTATTAGGATTAATGGATTTTCAAATATCAACATGATTTTGAAAATCCAGAGCTTTAGTTAGAATGTCTGCTAGTTGTTTCTAGTCAGGAATAAATTCCAAAGTTAATGTTTTGCTCTCCATAAGATCTCTAATGAAATGGTGCCTAATATCAATGTGTTTTGCTCTTGAGTGTTGCACATGATTCTTTAAAATGTCAATGGCACTCATGTTATCACAATAAATGAGAAAGATGACTGAGAGAGACCATAATTTTCTAACATTTGTTTCATCCAAATGAGCTATGTGCAACAACATCCAACTGCCAAATACTCTGCCTTGCAGTAGACAGAGATACATAATTTTATTTCTTGCTATGCCATGCAACAAGGTTGTTGCCACATAAAAAGCTTCCATAGAAGTGCTTTTCCTATCATCACTATAATCAACCCAATCTACATCACTAAAGCCAACTAAGTTAGAATTAGTGTCATAGGTATACCACAAGCCAAAGTCTGTTGTACCATTCACATACTTTATGATCCTCTTAACTGCAAACAAGTGAGACTTCTTAGGATCACTCTGAAATCTAGCACATATACCTACACTAAAGGCTATGTC